CGTCTGCACCGTTGATGCGAGCGAATATACCTGTGCGCGGATGGCGCCGATGGAATCCATGAGAGACTTCTGAACCTCATCAATATAGTTCTTGAGCTCATGCGCTTCTTGTTCACCTGGTGGGAAGTGGGTGGCTCCCAAAATTCGCCCTCAGCTTCGTCATATGAGTCGATGACACCACTTCCTTTGCCTTCCTTGCCTCCCTTCGGCCACTCGTGGGCAGGTGCCTCAGGATGATGAGAAGCACCACCAAGCTCAGGAACGGCACCCTGCTGCGCATGCTCTGGCATCGCGTCGCCCTTGCAGACCGGCGGTCTGCGAGCGGACAGCGCGTCGCGAAACAAGAGTGCACAAGGATGACCGCGGGCAAGCCCCAAGCCGTCAGAGCCAAACAGGCCACGGACGGGCCGCAAAGCTAATCGCTGATTCCCGGGCTTCTATAGCCCTTCACAACGTTTAGCCTTGAGCCACAATGGCTACGGCCCTCCTCCTCCTCCTCCCCCCCCCCCCCCCCCCCCCCCCTCCTCCTCCCATGGATCCGACAGCACTTGAGGCAGCGATCAGGACCCATACACCGTTGGTCGAAACCTCGTGGTTGGACGATATCACAGGTTGATACCGCTTCGGGACCTTCTAGCACCTCTGAGGACATATGTCGGGTCCAGCGACAGTCTTGGAAAGGCGTTTGGGTAGGGTGTGACGACGAACCCTCCCTCCTCACCCAGAGCGTTCATGACGATGGCAATGGGGGCCTCATCGTCGAAATTCGAGGCCTATGTCAGGCTGGCCCACGCACGCCCCCCTTGAGCATCGGGGCCCTTCGGCAAGCGGCGCGGAGCTTCTCGGGACGCACGGCCCTTGGGCCAGATCAGTTCAGACCTCGACATTGGGCGTTGGCCTCCAACGGGGCCCTGGCTGTCTTGGGATACCTACTACATCTATGCGAAGCCTTGGGAACATGGCCCACGTGCACTAGACGTGTACACATCATTCTACTGGGCAAACCGACGGGCGGGCACCGACCTATTGCGTCGCTCCCGCCAATTTACCGAGCATGGGCCCACGCCCGACTGGCTTGGGTCAGGGCATGGGCGCCCCGTCTAGATCGCCAATATCTTGCACTTGGCTCGCAGCGATCAACGACGGACGTTGCAGCTCGTGCGACGGCAACAGCAGAGGCAGGCGGACATCTGCGGCCAGAACCGCAGGCATCAGCGCATGCGATTGTTGATGTAGCAAAGTGTTTCGACAAAGTGCCGTGGCTATGGCTGCTGCGCGCGGGGATCCAGCAAGGTTTTCCAGGGCCGCTCCTCCTCCTCGCATTTAGGATATACGTGCCCAGCAGACGTTTGGTATGGGACAATTGCTACTCGGACGTCGTGTATGCGCAGTGTGGGGTGCTACCAGGATGTTCGATGGCCATGTTCGCGTTGCAGTGTATAATGATCGCCCCCTTCGACCACCTCACACGCACCACTATGGACATACCACGTAGCATCGACGTGTATGCGGACGACATTACAGTGCACATATATGGCGTACTACGACACATCGGTTCATGGTCCCAGAGGGTTCTGCGGCCGTTGGCGCATGAACTCAAGGCCCTAGGGCCCCCTCCAGCTGCCCACAAGATGAGGCTTACTAGTTCCATTCCTGCGTTGGGCAAACATGTGGCCTATCAACTACGGGATCTTGGGCACGCCTACGCGGAGGCTTTGGAGGTTCTTGGAATCGAGGTCTCGGGACGCCCTGTGCGCTACAGTAGGCTTCGACAACGCGCGAGGGGTGTGGCCAGTCGTCGGCCGCGCTTTATCTCACTACACAGGGCTGGTCCTCTCCTCAGTCGTTTCCACAAGCAGGCTCTCCCACCAGCCTTGACCTACGGGTTAGGCGCGCATGGAGCCCCCCACACACACACACACACACACGCACACGACTCGTCGAACAAATGCGGCAGGCGCAGCGAGGCGTGTGGCACGCCCCAGGCTCCAGCACATCGTGTTGGATCACATCGTGCCTCCAGGGATCTATTTTCACTGACCCCCAGGTGGAGGCCTGGGCCGCGCCTCTGTACCAGTGGTCCCTGTTGTTTCGCGATCCGCAGGTGCCCCACTGTGTCTTGCAGTCAGCATGGCTTCGCCAAATCCAGAAGATCTGTCACTCTCCCCACCCGTGGCGTCACGTGTCGGGCCCCGCTGGTGCCACAGTGCTTGCACTAAAAGAGCTCGGATGGGCCACTATCAGCAGCACTGTTTGGAAGACGGACCTAGGGGTTCGTATCAATGTTCGTGATGAGGCGCCGTCCAGCATCCGTCAGCTTGCTAGAGATGCTGGAGTGCGACGACTATGGGAAAAATGGGCCCGACGGCCACCTCTCCCAGGACACGACGCCATTCCTCGGGAGCCCATTGGATATTGGATAGAGCCAAATACTGCAGATCCTATCCAAGGTTGAAATACACGATGGTGGCGACTCAGGGAGTGACGACGAGCCTGGTGATCCCGACCGCGAGGATGATGCAGGTCCGACCCCGGACCCCGCCCCCTGTTGGACCCAACCCTTTTGCTGACAAGGGGAAACCCCCCCTCAAAGAAGCGGGCCTCTTACGTGCTTACTTGGGAGGCGGACTTTGGAGCCCATCAAGGCTTGCGAAGTGTGGTCACAGGGGCACAGACACATGCCCTCGGTGTATGGCGGCATCATGTGATTAGTATCATATTGTGCACGAGTGTCCAGCACTGCATACACAGCGTCAGCTACACATGTCTGACATTCGCACGGAGGGATTCCCTAGGCAAATGCGCGACTCTATGTTATGGTCGACAGGACTCGTCTCTCGCTCATGCATCCCACCCTTACCACCACGGGACAGCACTGGGCACTGGCACATACAATACGGCGACCCGCAAGGTCTCACAGGTAACGTATACACAGATGGTGCGTGTCAGCGTATGTGGTACTGGCCTGAGGCTACACGTGCAGGCTGGGGGTTCTGTCAGTTGAGTGAGCCGCCTCCAGGGGTAGATATCCTTGTTTTTGGGGCTCTCACAGGCCCCATACAGTCCTCGCCCAGGGCCGAGCTTTACGCTTTCCTTCAGGTCCTCCAGGTCTGCCTCCCCCCCGTTTGTGTGCACACCGACTTCAAGGCCTGGTTGATGGCCTTGCCCTTGGAGCCCGATGGTGCTGCTCGCCTCGGCGTTTAAACGCTGATCTCTGGGAACGCATTTGGGCCAAGATTTCTGATCTGGGCGAGGCGGGGTCTGCTGTGAGAATTACCCTAGTCAGAGGACACCGGCAAGGACAGAGCACCGACGCCCGCGGCAACCGGTGGGCTGACCTTGCTGCGCGCAATGGCAGAGACCTCCACTCCATCCCCAGAATACAGGTCAAAGCTATGAAGCTTGGCCACCAACACTACACGCGCATCCTGCGATGGAGTACTACTGCCCTGGGACTTTTCTTTGGCGAACAGCGGGTCGACACTCGGCCCCGCAAGAAATGTCGACGCCCTCGGCGTCCCTCGGCCCCTCTGGAGCCCAGGGAGGAATCGGCTCACCTGCGCCATGTTTTTACCCAGGTCCCCCATCGCAGCATTTGGAGATGCGAGTTTTGTAGAAAGGGCTCGAAGCTGGAAAGGACCCGTCGTCGTCTCTCTGAGCTTGCCTGCCCTGCTCGTTTGCGTGCTGCCGCAGCCATCCATCGGCGCCCCTCCACTGCCACCCCTCCTGGACACGCTGTGCGCGCCCAGGCTGACAATGAAGGGCAGATGCCGACGAATGAGGGCAGCAGCTTCGGTGCTGCTGTGCGACCTCGCTCCCCCTCGGACTCGTTTCGGTCGGTGCGCCCTCGGGCGGAGTCCTTCACACGTGGCCAGGTGTGTGACCAAGGGGGGGCGGATCCCCCCCTCCGTCCTCGGGCCTGGGTAGCCCTTCCTTGCCTCGCCCTCGTAGCCCCTCCCCTGGCTCCGAAAGGCACGTCAGGCCACGCGTGGGCTTCGAGCCCGTCGCTGTTGCCTGGGATGGAGCTGCGAGCGTCCAGGCCGAAGCCACTGCCAGGGTTCTTTCTTTTCCAGAACGCTCGGGGCCCACCTTCCTCCCCGACAAGCGGAGGCGGATCGGCTCCAAGCGCCCAAGTCGGCCCTCGCTGGCCGACACGGCAGTACCAGCCGAGCCTATGCCAGGAGCGGGCCCCGTTCCTGCCACGGCCGCTCGCGGCCACCGACTCTGGGTTTCCTCGGGCCATGTTTGCCTGTGCGTTTCCTGCGGGGCTTTTACGACGGGCACGGCTGGTCACCTCCCAATTGATTGCCCATCGGGAAGCACGCACCGCCTGTCAGAACGGGCGGTGCGCAACCGACGCCTTTTCATGCAAGGTTTTCATCCTGCGGGCGAAGGAATGGAGGGCTCACGTCGAGTTCCCGCACCTCGTCCGCTACTTGTCTCAGACCCTGAGACTCACTGGGTCAGGCTCCACGGGAGCCCACCTTCTCACCCAGGCTGCGGGGCTTAATCCCCGTTTCGTTGTCTGTGTGGCTGGTACCCGAGATCCTCTTGGTGGGGTCCCAGCCTCCTCACAGGCCAGCCAGGCTGCCAGCAGCTTGGCGCCCTGGTGGGCGCTCGTGCACAGCGCGACGCTTCCCTCGGCAGTGCCGTATCCTCCTCCTCCTCCCCCTCCCTCCCTCCCTCCCTCCCTCCCTCCCTCCCTCCCTACCCTCCCTCCCTACCTACCCTACCCTCCCCTCCTCCTCCTCCTCCTCCCCCTCCTTCCCTTCCTCCTCCTCCTCCTCCTCCTCCTCCTCCTCCTCCTCCTCCTCTTCCTCCTCCTCCGTAGCCATTTTGGCTCAAGATGGTTGCACTCAGGGGGCTCCGCGCCTCCGTGCCAAAGTGGAAGCTGCTAGTCCGCAGCCAGTTCTCAATTGCTTTCAGGAGCCTGATCACCACAGGTTTCCTACTACATATTCTTTCTTCATGGGGAAAGGAGGGCGCCAGCAGTATAAGTCATGGCAGAGCAGAGCACCGCGGTATCAATCTTCGACCACGGCAGGCGCAAGTATGTCTCTAAGCAACCAGTGGCCCAGTCTTGGGGATGGTAGCCCGAACACATACGGCAATTTCAAGATGCAGCCATGGCGACCATCGACCCCTCGTGCAGATCTTCGACAGAACATCTCGCAGCGCATCGCTCTTCCCAAGCTTGGACGAGATGCGACCTGGTGCAAAGTCTGTGGAAAGTTCTGTTACAATGACTTGCTGGAGAAATTCGACTACACCTGCCAGTACTGCGGCTGTTTCCTCAAAGGACGTAAGCCCGCAGGACCAGGAGGTGGGGCACCGCAACCAGCAGACGCCCATCATGGTTCTGGGACTTCGGACGTGGAAAAGGCGGCCTTGGAGCGCATTATCGCTAAGGGAGGTGCAGCAGCTGAGCAGGCAAAGTTACTTCGTGAGACCTTGGTCAATCAAATCCCCGCTGCTGCACCATCGAAGCCTGCATCTGTCAGGCTCACGGAGGCGACGCAGAAGGTTGAGCGGGCCGAGGCCAGCATGGACAAGGTGGCTAAGCGTGTTCTCCGTCTCGAGCAAGAGCTTGGAGAAGCTATGGAATTCTACCGAGATTGTGCGAGCAACTTGGCAGATGCTATTGTGGCGCAGGAGCTCGTGGCCAAAGAGCTGGCGCCTGCCCCGCCGTCGTCTCCTTCTGAGTTGGGGAAGCTGGACGTCCGTCAGTTTCTGGATCAGAAGGCGGAGCTCAACCTCAGCTTCGGGGGGCTCTTCGACGACGTGGATCTTGAGGACAGCGATCGCGAGGAGTTCGAAAGGCGCAAAAGCAATTTCGAGACGGAGTTCCGCGCGGCTTTGGATTCGCAGTTCCGCAAGGTGGCGGAGAATTTGGCCTCGCAGCAGCAGAAGAAGGTGGAGGAGATCGGATCTTGGCAACAGGCCAAGAAGCGCAAATCCAGCTCGTGCCCGCCTGCTTCGGCGGCCATTCCAGGCGAAGGAGGATCCGGTGATGCAGTTGGCGCTGAGGCTACGGCCACTTCAGCCTCAAGCCCTGCGGTGGGGGGCCTCGCCCGCCACACCTACGGCGCCAACCCAGACAGGGGCGGCTGGAAAATCTTCCTGGGCGAGGGTATCTCCTTTGGTCGACGGCAAGCAGACGGAGCTCCGCACCATCATGGACGAAGCGCTGGCCAGGAAGAGGGCAGGCGCAGTTGGCAGACAGACGACAGTTTAGCAGCCCACCCTCGGCAGAACCCTGGCTCCCGCCCCGCCCTGGGCAGGTAGCAGTGCAGGGGGAGGCCAGTGAAGAGGGCAAGTCGGGCAGATCTACCTCAAGTACGGCATCAACTTGGACTTCCAGGAGGTTATTCCAGGGGGTGGCCCCTCCTGGGACCCCTGGCCTGGATTTCGGTGGCACGAGTTTACTGCAGGGGGTGGCTCCTTTCGAGACCCCTGTCACGAACGTCGGCCAGGGCGACGACAGCTTACTAGCATACCAAGGGGTGGCCCCTCTCGGGACCCTTGGCACGGACTGGGAGGCCTCGGTCCACAGCTACATGGATGAGACTGCATACCAGGGGGTGGCCCCTCTCGGGACCCCTGGCAGGTTCGAGTCAGAGGCGTTCTGCAGATCGTTGGAGGAGCATGCTTACCAAGGGGTGGCCCCTCTCGGGACCCTTGGCACGATCTGGGAGGACCGGGTTTGCTTTTTCTGGGACGATCGTGCGTCTCAAATGGCAGCCTCTCTTGGGCTTTCTGGTGGTGGTTACTTCAACTACTCAGCTGGTGGGATGCAGGGGGTGGTTTCTCTAGGGACCCCTGATTCGTTGGTTGGGAACAGCAGTCCCAGTAGTTTTTATTCGCAAGGGGCGACTCCACTTGAGACATCTGTTTGGCACTGGCACGATTCGAAGGTATCTCGTACTTTTGACAGCGTCAACTTTCAAGATTCCTGGACAGATCAGCTTGTGTCGCAGCAGCACTTTGAGGCATTTGACCATTTCGGCCGCGGTATGTTTCTACCGCAGTCGACGGCACAGGCAGATTCTTTCCAGGCGGGCGTCAGAATGCAAAATCCTGGGCTCCCAGGTTCGACGTCGCCACGTTCGTCGTTGCCACTTGCTGGGTTGACTCGGGTTGGAAACTGGCCACGGATCTCTGTTGGCAAGGAAAGGTCTCTGTTCGCGAAGCACGACAGTCTTCTTCTCCTCGAGGGCACGATAGAGGCAAGTGGCTGGAAGGTTACCTGGGAGCTCTACGCTAACTTAGGATCTGAACTTCGAGATCGACGGCCACGACCTCCTCAACTTCCCAGAGTGGATCGAGCCAGAGAGCGGCGAGATCTGAGGTATGATATGACGGCTGCCGCGTCCAGGTGGGTCCACGACATCAGAGGCGAGTGCTACAATTCTTTGGAGCATTGGAAGGAGTGGTGTGTTCCGTACACTGTGGCATCGCTCTCACGTCGGTCTATGCGCGGTCTCCGCCAGAACCTGGAGAATTACTACCGCATGTCGTTGCAGGACATCGCAGAAAATTTATGCACACGCGCATGGGTCTCAGCGGAGCCGCACAGGGCTTTCTTCTTCAGCACGCTCAATACCATCAGGAACCCTAGGCGTTACAGGAGATTCCTACGATGGCATTTCGACGACCTTAGTGAGCTGCGCCGACGGTTTCGACGCCTTCTTGGGAATCGAGTTCCTCCAGATCGTTTCTTTCCAGATCAAGCTGGCGGCGACATGGAGGACGATCAGGCTCAGGATCGAATGTGCACTCTCTGGGATTGGGTCAGACAAGCTATTGTGGACACTCAGAGTACCGAGAAGGAGGCAAAGGCTGACATGGGAGATGGTGCACAGTTTCGGGTGTACATGCGCAACATGTCGACCTGGGGTACGTCGGCCAAGGCGCTGTTGAAACGGTCCTACGACGCGGTCATCATCCAGGAGACCCACATGGACATGGCCGAAACCAATGACGTCTTGGTGGAGTTTGATAAAGCTGGTTACAAAAGTATGGTGTGCCCAGCGGGTGCTGAGTCGGCTATCTTCACGAAGAAAGCTGGTGGTGTCGCGATGGGTGTCTCAAAGAAATGGTCATCTTGGTCACTCAGGCACTTGGCCTCCAACAAGGACGAGCTACCTGGTAAGCGAGCAGATAAAGGCAAGAAGGACGAGGCGGCTCTTACCACTGGAGTTCGTTTTAAGGATCTGGTCGGGATGCAGGTGCTTTTGAAAGGTGCACATCTCACGATTATCGGGGGCTACCTATACAATGGGCTGGGCATCACGGGCGCCAACGTGGAGAAACTTAGACAGTTGGCCTCACTCGTTTCCTCTTTATCGACACCTTGGGTCATCTTATGCGACTGGAACTTTCCTCCAGATACCCTCCGCAAGGCTGGGTGGCTCAATTTGGTCCAAGGCAATATCCTGGTGGCAGACAACGTGGACTACACGTACACTGGAGGGCAGGGAACGCTCCTAGACTATGTTGTGGCCTCAGGGTCTGCCTTGGAATACTTGGACCGCATTCACGCCGACACGGACTTAGTGGGCGAAGGCGGCAAAGCGCATTACGGTATTGTATTGGATTTACTTCTGGCTGCCAAGCCAGCTGAGGGACGTACTCTTAGCCTACCAAAGGCTTTTGGCCCTCCGTCGCAGCCCAAGAAGCAGGCGGATCCAAACAGCAAGCGCTCGAGGAAGCTGGTGGTGGTGGCTACTCCAACGTCAGCGAGACCGAGGATCGCCAAGCTGGGGGAGAGACGTCGGCTTGGCATCAAATCTCCTCCTCCATTCAATTTCTTGGGTCCGATGGATCTTGGGGAGGATTCGGAGAGCGATGAAGGCGAGCCTGACGACGACGAGCCTCTACCCGACGTACCAGAGGATCAAGGAGAAGGCCTGGTCCCTCCTGGGAGTGGAGCTGGCTTAGGCGATAAGTGGTCAGTGGATCAGCGTGCCGATCTTTGGTCGTCCATCTGCATACCTCGGGATCATCGCTGGTCGGAACCGCCGCCGTACGTCACGGACCCCCACGCTTGGAGGCCTACCTCTGACAGTGCGGGCAAGCTAGGCATTGCTTTCGGCGAGTGGGTCGGCAAGGTTGAAGAGTTCTTCAGCCGCCTTCTCGACGGCGAGGGTCTGGACAAAGACAGCAAGGCTCATCGAGGCCGAGGTCTGGCTCGACCTACCAAGACTCACAAAGTGGTGCCGCCCCCTCCATTCACACGCACACGGGATCCTGGAGTGGACTGGTGGGCCAAGATTGCTTTTTTGATGGAGGAGTTGGACAGGGCCAGTTCCAAGCGGGAATCGCCTCGGTTTGGGAAGCTTATTACCAGACTCAGGGAGGCCACGGCTTGGGTTCCCTCTTCGGCCCTGGCTTCTCTCCCGCACAAGGAGAAAACGGCTTGGTGCAGGAAGCTACGGCAGCTCAACATCGCCACGAACGACACCATCAGGCGCTACAAGGACGAGAGCAGCAAGATCGCTGCCAGCTTGCAGCGGATGGAATGTTATTCTCAGTATCTGGCCTTCTCCCAATGGGCGGAGGAGCAGTATGTTGCCGCACCTGGGAAGCTGTTTCGACTTATCAAGGACAAGGCCACCTCGAAGGATGAGTTCGAGGAAGGCCAGGTAATATCGTCGGACCCCCTCACGGCGATGGACATTCGGGCTAAGGTGTGGAAGAAGAAGTGGAGTGACCAGCAGCTCGACATCGGCCAGGTCACCATACTCTTGGGACGTGCTAGGGCTCGCGCTCGTGAAGACGCTTTCCCTCTCTTTGACTTGGAGACGTTGGAAGACGGCATCCGAAGGATGAAGGGCACGTCGGCGAAGGGCATCGAGCAGTTGGGGAAGAGGGACCTCATCTGGTTGCCCGAGCAAGGTAAGCAGGAGCTGGTCCAACTTTTTCAACGTATCGAACAGTCAGTGGCATGGCTTTGGCAACTTACGGTGGTTCTGGTCACTCTTCTACGCAAGCCGAGCGGTGACGACAGGGCCATTGGCATATTATCGACCTTGGCGAGGCTCTGGTCAAGTTGTCGAGGCGAGTACCGTGCCAGCTGGACAAAGGCAAAGGCTGGGCATTGGGACGCAGCAGTGGCAGGTTCCTCAGCCTTGCGCGAGGCCTTAGCTCGCAGCTACCTGGACGAGACGGTCGCGCTCACCACGATTAAAGATTGGGTGCAGGCCAGCGTGCTGTGGGACATTGAGGGGTTCTACGACGCTCTCAAGTGGCAGCTCTTACTGGAGTCTGGTATGGAGCACGATTTTCCACCGTGCATCTTGGCATTGGAGATGATTTTACACATGGGAGTGCGTTTCCTTCGCGACAGTGGTTATTATTCTGATGCCATCATACCCGAGCAGAGCATGATAGCTGGACTCGGCGGCGCAGTGGATTTCTCTCGTTGTGCGTTGTACAACATCCTGGACAGAGTGGCGCAGGGGTCTCCTGGTGTTACGGTCAGGCCCTGGGTGGATGATGTTTCAAAGAGTGGAAGGCAGATACAAAAGAGTTCTCGGACTGGCCTTGCAAGCTGGCGTGACTTTTGCAAAAGGTTGCTCTGAGGCTGGTTTGGTGATATCGGCAAAGTCGACGATAGTTACCAACAATGCTGGTCTAGGCAAGGAGCTGAAACGAGGACTCGCCAAGGAGGGCTTCGAGGTCAAGATCGAGAGTGTCGCCACCGACTTGGGCATCGATCGAGGCACGGTTGGCTTTAGGCGTCCGAAGCAGGCTCAGCGGCGAAGAGGTGCTCAGCAGCGCTTCACTCGTGTCAAGCGGTTTGCTCAAGGTGCGGTTCGCAAGAAGATCGGCGCAAAGTTGGCCATGATGGGTGTTCTTCCGATGGCGGACTACTCGGACAAAGTTTTTGGAGCGGCTCCGTCGGTCATCAACGGCTGGAGGAAAGCTCTGGGACAGACCCTGGCAAAGAAGTGGCCAGGTCGTTGCCTCACAACTCTTTTACAACTACGTGTCGGCCGCAAGGACCCTCAGTATCAGATCGTGCA